AGGGTGGTTGGTGGCCATAGTTTACAAAACCAGGGAAGCTCTTAATTACAGTTCACAAGCTTCACATGATAACTATGGCACTAACATAATATATTAGGTGCTACCATATTGATTCCTAAAACCAAATAGCCTTGGCATCAATCAGCTTTTGCTTTAGAGATCCATCAACATGAAGGGAGATTACATCTTTAGCCAAGCCGACATATCGACCACCAATAAACACTGCCGGAACAGTTGGGTTGCAGCCTAGTGCTCTTAAGGCACGCTCCATTTCTCTCCCCTATGCATCTTGATCAAGCTCATGCACAGTGAAGCCGATAGTACATAAGCTCTTAAGAGGAACTATCCTTGATGATTCGCTTGAAAATGACTCTGTGTGCTGAATCCAAGTTAATGAAAGAAAACTGCTCCCAGTGAAGCCGATGGTGCATAAGCATGTATACAAAGTATTCAGGAGCTCAAAAATTTACAGCCGATAGTACATAAGCATGTATACAAAGTATTCAAGGGCTTAAAAATTTACTTGATTTGATCTTGGATCAGAACATTATTTGGAGAAATAAACTAACAAGTGTTTTGTCATTTGTCAATGAAATCTTTCATGAAAGGACTATTCTGCTCAATGTAGGCACTCCGACGCCAATTCTCTACAGCTCTCCTAACAGTTGAATTTGCCCTATGTATCTCCTCGACTGTAAACTTGTGTTCAATAATTCCCAAGGGTCCAGGTTGAAGAACCTTAACCACAGTTTCCATATCCTTCTCCAGTTGCCTGTGGAGAAAATGTCCGAGATACAATGTCAGTTTTTATTGAATACAAACATGTGCTCAACCATGACACAAGGAAACATAAATCTATCAACCAATTAAGAATAAATCTATCTTGCTTATGCGCATTTCAGGCCAAAGGGAACTAAGGTAATCTGGGCCAGCTCTGTTTGGAACTCATATGTGACACCAAATCACGTTTTTATCTTGTGGTTGGCAGTCAAATCTAAACTACTTACAAAGGACATATTGGAATATCTCCAGATTGACCATAAGTGCTGATTTTGCGAACGCATGGATGAGACAACAAGTCATTTATTCTTTGACTGTTCATTTTGCCAATCTATTTGAAAAATTATCCGCCCAGGAATGCCTAGTGTAATTGTATATGTACTTGATTTGGACTCGTAAGCTTGGGAATGCCCGGTGTATTTGAATAGATATTTTTTTATCAATACATTTCATATTTACCCAAAAAAAAAAAAAAAAAAAAAAACACACTATCAACCAATTAAGATCCTCAGTTGTTACTGTTGAAAATATTTCTAAATAAATGTATCCCCTCTATAGGGGCTTAAAGTTTTAGATAAAAGTGGTATCTGAATAACAAAATGTCGGAGTTGAAGTCTCGCCACTACCCTTTAGTGAAACATGTATGGAGTCTTCGATAAACAAAATCAATCCTAACACTGTGTGAAGGGGCATGTTAGAGATATAAATATGAATAAATAAATCAATCCTAACAAGTTAGTCAACAATCACACCTGTTATGAGGAGAAAATCTATGGGTTCAGATCAAAATGGAACAAAATTTTGTTCTCACTCCATAAAATCAATTTTTGGGGCGCAACAAGAATTTGTATCCTTAAATCATATCAGAGGGGTTTGCATTTATTGTGGAAATTCCAGTTCTCTATGCCACCCAAATTTTTCAAGTATTCTACCGTGAAGGAGGTTAATAAACTACAGTAATTTACAAAAAAATTTGTCCCTAAAGGCACCTGAACCTTGCATCTTTCATGACCACATCGAATGGACATCCATGGTCAAGAATATAGACCGTCGAAGGGTAAAAGCATTTCAACTGGAATACAAAAATTCCATATATAGAATAACTTAAAATTTATAACCTCAGAAATAGAAATGCAATGCATAGCCCTTCCAATATACAAATCATCTGCAGCACGTTTATGGCACTGAGGAGAATTGGCCTGAAGTATGTATTGCTAAAGAAGAAAAAAGCTAAAATCTTTTCCATTGTACTGTGCACCAAACATGGTATTAAACCACAATACGTTAAGGAGTGTACAGACTCCCATCAAAAGTACTAGGTGGAACAAGCCCTAGAAACAACCTAAACTCTTTGAAGATTATTGATGTTATTGTTCTGAATAATGATTGTACATGCCAGAACTCACATCACTGAATCAAAATGTGCACCTTGATCCTTCTCTATATCCAACATTTTCAGATCATCTCTTATTCCTTGTGTCGAAAATGATTTATATACAGCAAACCAAATTGTCAAATTATCCCCTAATAAGGTATCACTGTTCTCTAAACAACGATTGAAGAAGTCAGCGGTATCACTTATCGCTCATCAGTTCACGCACAGTAAAAACAGAGGCATACACCGAGAAAGGAAGAGATTGAAAGAAGAGTACCTGAAAAATCTGGAAAATGGCAACGATTGGCCCAGCCTCGACAGAGATAGAGGCATATTCATCCAAGCAAGCATACATAAAATTCACCCGGTCTTTTTGCAAATGGAGATTAGGGTTTCAAAGAAGATTTGATATTCGCAATTGCCCTTCTGGGGTGAAAGCGTTGTTATATATACGGACATCATGTCATGTTTGGGTAGGCTTAAAAATTTACTTATAAGTAAATATTTTCAAGTTCATTTTTTAAATAAATAAAATATAAAAAGAGCATATAAATACAGGAGTACTTTTCAGTTTAGCTTTGTCAAAGTTACCATTTTCCACTTTGACCAAATTTTTTTTGTCATTCACTACAATAGCCTCTTAAGGTGTAAACGGTAAAAATACTCTTAAGTTGTTACACAATTACAAAAAATAATATTGTTTAAAAAGACTATTATACCCTTTTAAGTTACAAAAAATTTCACACTTCCCACTTAAATTTCCAAAACCAAATAATTTTTTTATCTGTTTACTCCAACACAGACAAAAACAGCTTCATTTTTCATTTGCTTCAACCGTGAATCTCATAAATTTATAAAAACGCTCAACAAAAAAAATATTTTTAGTCAGCACTACGAATCGGTAAATATATTTACATATTATTAATTTCATTATTGTTGAATTAGTAACTTCTTTTATCATTAAAACTTATTTTTTTACATAGGCAGATAAATTTTTACAATCTCAAATAGATTTATAATTTTTTAAACAAAATCGAAAAAAATTTATATGAACAAATCTCAAAACGGTGGGCCCCCGGTTGCTGGATCCGGACGACCCTTACTTTTAGGCCGTTCGGATTCACCCATCCGAATTCGCCTAATCCAGTCTGCTGTTTTCGAAGTGTTGGATCCAAACGGCCAGGCCAAATGTTGGTTCGGACGGCTTTTGAAATCCTTTTTTATCTCCTAATTATATTTTTTAACAAATTATGTTTTCCTTATGTAGATATGGGATCGGCTGCAATTCCAATTTACTACTTTGGTAAATTTGAAATGAATGAAAATGAACATTGGGTGTGGAAATGGATAAGCGAAAGACATGGTGCTACTGCAATTGTGATAAGTTCTAGTACATTATATGTAGAAAATGTACCATGAATTACAGAACATGCTTGGCATCGATTCCTCTCAATACGACATGAAATTGGGATTTCTATTCTGCAAGCATGCGTCTATTTCAATTTCGCCTATAATAGTTATTTCGGAAGCTGAAATGAAGGTTTTAATTGAATTGAACCAGAATCACATAACTCCTATTTGTGTAACTTTAGCAGAGAAGAATAACCTCGAGGGTAAACATGAAGATTTCGATAAAGGGAATCGTAATGTGAATGATTTTTGGGATACAGTGGAGACAGTTCGTGATGATGATGTGATGTGATCCAGGAGACACAAGCAACAAAAGCAAGTCCAACGTTAAGCCCGGGGAAAGATCCGTTGATAGTTGAAGGTGGAGCGAGGATGGAGCAAGTGAAAGAGGTGATGGGATTGCTTGCCAAGGCGATAGTTGATGGAACCTTGTTCAGGACTCAAAATGGAACAGGTTTCATGTTGGAAACGAAGGTCGAAGAAGCTTGGATCAATGTGTTTCAAGTGACGTAAAAAGGGAGCTCAACCGAGAGCTATGCAACCGCATAGCTCTCCAACCCATGCTGTCGCAATGAGGGTGGCAGGGACTTCGAGCCAGGCGAAAAGCTTTACTATGCAACCGCATAGATTAACTCTGTGGGGCCGCATAGATGAAAACTTGGGTGGTTTTCTATTTTTGGCGAGAAGTTTATTTCTATTAAAACTCTTATTATTTTGGTAACTTAATATTGTTAGGAGTCTATAATTCCGTTTTCAATTATTTTACTAGAGTTTTATTCATTTTAAAACTAGTTCCTAGGTTTAGTATAAATAGGGTTTTTTTCTGCATTGTAAGAACTTTTGACATTATCATTATTGAGAGACTTTTATTGCTTTCTTATAGTATTCTTTAGTTGGACAATCTACGAACTTATCAAGATTTAAATCTTGTGGAGTTCAAATCAATCGGGTGAGATTTACATATTTTTCGTAATCAAGAGATCCGCACGTCATCGACAATTCGGGTTGTTTGGTTCCAAATTTATTGAGTTTAATCCAAAACCTTGCTTTGGTTTTCTTGGGTCGATTTTCAATCTTGAACATGAATTTGGTAGTGCCTATGCGGGTTCACATCAGTTGGTATTAGAGCTTATGTTCCAATCCAAAGTTATATCCCTTTTAAATTCTTGTTGAGTCAGTTTTCTTTTTTTTTTTGTTTTTGTTCTTGGTGCTCTTCAAGTCAGTCATTAGTTTTGAGTCGTTGATTCAAAAAAATTTCAAAAACATTTCAGAAGTTGTTTTTGGATTCAATTTGTATCCAAATCAACTTCCGTTTGTTGCGCTAGCGTCGTTGTTGATTTTTCTATCCCAAAAGTTAAAAAAAAAATTACTATTCATCGTACGATACTGTTCATCCGTATAGTATAAAAAAATCCAAAAAAAATCGAATTAAAAAAAAATTGTTATTATTGTTATTGATCTTGGGAATTTACCGACTTTATTAGCCCGTTTTATTATTTTTGTTTAGTTTAATTCTCCAGCCAATTTATTCTTCTATTTCATGTTCTTGAGTCATTTTTTTGTCTAGTCCGAATTGTTAACCAAGTTATTCTAAATTCCTTAGGCTTATAATCTCGCTTACACCGATTTGGATTCCATTGATTAAAATTTTGATTGAGTTTCAAGATGTTCTTTTGGGGCACTTGGTGAAAGCAACGAGTGATAAGAGGTGATAAGACACAGAGTGGTGAGAACAATCGAGAGAAAAAGCCATATTGAGTGAATTTGGAGTGAAATTTTTGAGACAGAAAAATAAACTAGAGTTAGGATGTCGTACAGAGAAAGATCAAATCCAGGTAAGATTGATGACCGAATTACTATGCTGGAGGACTTGGTACAAAGGATTGAGAGGATATTTGGAGACGTGAGGGATCGATTGGATAGGCAGGATGCACGGTTGGAAATGCTAAATCCAATTCCTGCTAATGTTCAAAGAGAGGTCCTAATGCACGGAGACAAGGTAGATGTGAATTTAGGATGGATGAACATTATGATCTTGAAGTTAATAGTGGGATAGATGAAGATGCGATTGTGGATGGGGAGATTGGAAGGGGAAGAAATAGATGAGTTAGGCAAGAAACGAAAGGTAGGAGTATTAATGGTAATGAGGTGGATGAAAATTTAGAAAACATTAAAATGACCATTCCTTCATTCAAAAGGATGAGTGATCCGGAGGTATATTTGGAGTGGGAAAAGAAAATTGAATTAATCTTCAATTGTCACAATTACTCGGGGAAGAAAAAGGTGAAAATTGTAGTCATCGAGTTCACCGATTATGCCATTACTTGGTGGGATCAAGTGGTGACTACGAGACGAAGAAGTGGGGAACGTCCTATGAACACATGTAAGGAATTGAAAACAATAATGCAGAAGAGATTTGTTCCTAATCACTATTATCGGAAGTTTCATCAAAAATTGTAAAATTTATATCAAGGCTCAAGAGCGTGGAAGATTACCATAAGGATATGGAAATACTAATAATTATGGCAAATGTGGAGGAGGACAGAGAAGCCACTATGGCTCGGTTTTTGAGTGGGTTGAATAGGGACATCGCGAATGTAGTGGAATTACAGCACTATGTGGAAATTGAAGATATGCTACATGTGGCCATGAAGGTGGAGGGACAATTGAAGCGAAAAGGGACAGCAAAGTACCAATCTGGATCTTCGGATTCTAATCCTTCTTGAAAATCGAAGTGGGAAAATAACAAAGGAGATGAAATGTTGCAAAAGGGAGAGCTGAGGTACCAAGAGGCAAGGAAGAGGGTGCAAGCAAGGCTATACCAAAGGGGGAGTCACAACCATAAAAAAAAATAGGGATATCAAATGTTTTCGTTGTTTGGGAACGGGGCACATTACTTCTCAATGCTCAAACAAGAAAATAATGATTTTGTGGGACAGCGGGAAAGTGGAAAGAAAGTGATTATGTAAACATGCTAGAATTGGAGGATGCTGATGAAGAAGACACCACGAAGTGCGCGGTTGCTGGTAAGTTGTTGGTCACTAGGCGAGCTCTCAACACTCAAGGCAGATGACTTGGAGCAACAGCGAGAAAACATATTCCACACGTGGTGTCACGTCAATGGCAAGGTATGTAGTGTAGTAATTGATGGTGGAACTTGTACTAACGTGGCTAGCACTAACATGGTGGAAAAATTAGGTTTAACATTATTAAAACATCCTCGACCCTATAGATTACAATGGTTAAATGAATGTGGGGAAATCACGGTGACAAAAAGGGTGTTAATTAATTTTTTCATTGATAAATATCAAGATGAGGCGATGTGTGATATTGTACATATGCATACCGGGCATAATTTGTTAGCAAGACCATGGCAATACGATAGGGAGGCAGTGCATGATGGGTATAAGAATAAGTATAATTTTGTGAAAGATGGGAGGTCTATTGTTCGCTAAAATCCTACAATGCAAGTGCACGGGTCGCGTTTAAGTAATAAAGTGGACCTTTTGAGTCCAAGTATCATCTCACAAAGATTATATTAGTTTAAATTTAAACTATCTTCGCATTAACCGAAACAATAGAAATTCGTGATTCTTCGCTAACTAAATTATGATTTAATAACCTACTTATAAATATAAAGCCTAAGTTAACAAACTAAATGCGTGATTATAATTAAATGCAAGTTTTATAAAAATATGATAAAGAAATATGTACTAGGATCCCGAGTCCACTTATATCAATCCCCTTTAATCCGAATTTTATAAAATTGACAACACGATTCAATTATGAAGACCAAGATTCCTAATTTGTTTAACAATCTCTCTCGAGTAGAATTAAACCTATTTTTACATACAACCCGACTATATTTCTATGACGGATACAAATATATAAAAATGCATTAAAGATTTATGAATACTTAAAAATCACGTAAAGTATAGCGGTATATTTCTATCACCTATCAGACTTTACAACAATTAACATAATGTCTAACTTATTTTTCATCTCTCGAGGGTAAAACAAGTCACAAATCTCAT